TGAATTTCCTTTTTTTTTCACTGTTTTTAATTTTTCCCTTCTTGTTTACTATAATATGACTGTTATTTTGAGATATCCCAATGATATGTAAGTTTTGTTCACTATTTGTAATTTCAATTATACAACAGTCGATAATACTTCATGAATTATCTTATACCAGGAATTACTGTCTGATCATTCATGTCATTCCTACTAGAAAATTAAATATACTTTATATATTATTTGTATGAAATGTATCAATGAAGGAAATAATGTGATGCAATAACTGATATAAAAAAAATTTGGAAGCGGGTATTATCATTTTCTGGAGAAAATCATATTTCTGTCCATAATCATTGATAATAAGTAATTGAAAGTAACTAGGATAAAAAAGATACTGGTATGAAGTAGTTTTGTGGAATTAACAATTCTTCAAATATTACAGAAATTTTGAAAAATAAAAAAAAAATCAAAATCTAAAAGTTGCAATAGAAAGATCAAATTCGAGAAGCGTGTGTAAAATTGAAATAGAAACAACTTTTTCAAGTAAACTTTTCCTTTATTCGGACAAATAAGCCTACTTTCAGCGATTAATTTGAAAAAATATCACTTTTGACATGTAGCGAAAGTCACGTGACCCCGATTGAGTAGGCCGTTTTGCATCTTTTTTGAAGCAAATGAAAGTTTTTCCCATATGATGCCGACTTTATGAATGACACTGTAGAAAACGTTTTTCCCGATAAGAAGATGGGTCGGTTTCATTCTGACTCACCCAGATTATAGTTTTCACTGGATGACTGTTCATACTATGATTTATTGAGGCACGAAAAACGGAATTCATCATCAAATGCAGCAGTGATGAATTTTCAATTGTTTCGGTTCGGAGAAGGCGGCTATGAGGTCAATGTGGAAATAGTTGAAGGAAATTCGATTAGTTTTCAATTTCCCAGTTCTGGGAATATTGCTATCGTCGAAGGATCGAAAATCATGGGTTTTCATCATTTCCACATAACGTTATCGGTGGTCATACGTTATCATGAATGGACACTTCATCGTTACGTATCCAATTCTGCTCGAATTAATCATAATTAGGTTGTTTATATGAAAGAAAACTCATCGTGAAAATTCATTCAAGGTTTCCCAGGATCACATTCGCATACTCCAGGAAGTGGTTTTGCGGATAAAAATGAGAAACAAATATATCAACATGTCGCGCCGTCAAAACAATAGTAACATGAGTCAAAAAACATGGTTTAGAGAAAACCGCGTCTGAAGTTCTGAAGAAATAGTTGCAATTTGATTACTTTCAATCAATTAGATATGGCTTCGTTGATTCTTCATGAATTGTTTCTGTATTATTATGAGATGATGGTTCTTCAAATTGCAATTCAAGTGTTGGTGATAATAATTGAAAAGATAGATTATATTTGAGTTGGGTTAGTGTTGCATTGATTTTTACTGCAATTATCGATTTCCTGAAAAACGCAACTGGTTGTTAACAGATTATGTGATTTTTTTATACAGGGTGTATCTAAAGAACACAAAAAAAATCTAGGGGAGATTCCTTGTGATATTTTAAGAAATGAAGTTCATATAAACATCTGTCTTAACTTGCTTCGTTTTCGAGATACAGGGTAATGATATTTCCATGAAGAATCTTTCTTCTATTCATTTCTCAATTGTCATTTCATCAATTCCAATGAAACGTTGTGGTTTTGTTATTAGTAATATCGAGCTTCTTATTCTAGTGCATTCACATTCGAAATAATATTCCCAGTGGCGTAACAGTGCATGGGTACATTCATCGATATTCATGGTGAATGTCATTGTACACCACCGGTGTTTCTGAGCTTCATATTTTTATCAGATTGACATTTTGAAAAAACAACATTTTTAACCTCTGAGTGATTTCTGTAGGTTAGGTTAGGTTAGGTTCCATGTGAGTGGGGCGAATACCTCCCCTCCACTGCGACCCCAGATGGGTCTATTGTGGCTCACCCCTAGAGGTTACAGTTCACCGTACAATCCACATCTTTTTACAAAGTTCATGGTTGAATTGGGTGAGATTCGTCTGAAATCGATAGGTTCTGAATTGGTAAAGCCAAATGTGTCGAACCTTAGTCTGTGTAAACTAGAGCATGAACATAATATGTGTTCAGCCGTTTCGTCTCTCACACAACAGAACCGACAGTCCGTTTGTTGGTTCAGACCCATCCTTCCCAGGTGGTATCTCAGACGACAATGTCCTGTAAGCAGTCCAGTCAGAATTCGCAGGTTACCCCTGCTCCATTCTAGGATCTGCCTGGTTATTTTTTCCGATGGTTTAGGCAGGAACGCCTTCGAATGGGTTAATCCTGGTAATTCAGACCAGTACGTGAGTGTTTTTCCCTCCGCCCAGCCCGAGATAGTTGTTTTCGCCGCACTTGCGGTGACCCCAAAATATGGTTCTGGTCCTATGAACACAGATTCGGTTCCCTGTTTGGCGAGGATGTCGGCTTTCTCGTTACCCTCCACCCCCTGGTGTCCAGGCACCCTCAGCAAAGTGACTCTGTTGTTAGCACCCAGGCATTCTAGGGATTCAATACAGCTCCATACAAGCTTGGAATTCATCTTGCTGGAGCTCAGTGCTTTAAGAGCAGCCTGACTGTCTGATACAATACTGATATTTTTGTTTACTAGAGGTTTATTCGACAATTCTCTAGCACACCAATCAATTGCGAATACTTCCGCCTGGAAGATTGTAGCATATTTGCCGAGATTGAAAGAAATTTCCGTCTTCGGTTTTCTGCTGAACACACCGGCTCCAACTCCAAGAGGGGTTTTCGAACCATCTGTGTATACATTACGTGTTCGGTCTCTGGGAATTGGTCTGATCCACTTGCCCATTCGTCTCTCTTCGGGAAGAGGACTTTGAAAGACTTTTTCACGTGTGTCTGAGTGGCCAACATGTCGGGAACCATTGCTAGAGTTTGGTGATTTTTTGTTTCACACAGTATCCCGGAGTGGTCCAGCAGTCGCCCCCCTCTAATTTGATCTTCCAATGACAGGATTTGTGATTTCTGTATCTAGCTGAGTTCTTCAGGAAACAATAAATATTCGATTCGACTTCAAATTTTAATGTAGGTGTTTTCAAGACTTTCATTGAGATTACTCAATAACCCCCATTAGAATCATTTTGGAATTTCGGGGCTGTCCCAGTCTCCATCGATACTAAGTTTCGCCACCATGACGCTTATCCTGGGGAGTTAAAAATAAAAACAATTATTTACTTCCAACTTCAACATCCTGTATCTGAAAACGGAGCAAATAGAACACATATGTGTATATGAACTTTATTTGCTAGAATGTCACGAGGAAACACCCCTTGAATTTTTTCGGTGTTATTCAGATACACCCTGTAGAACTGTCCAATTAGGATGAATTGAACACTGTCGATAATCTCATAATATGGTGTGTTGAAATTGGATGAACAGAATTTTTAGGTTCACATCATTGAAATTTTAACAAACCAAAAACAATTTCAATCGCTTGAAAAATATACATTGCAGCTATACATTTTTTTCATTTCATTTGATACCCTATAATATGTTATACTCATGATTGAAAATCTGTTCATATGCAGTTTTTTATCCAAAGTAGTCCCAGGTGCAATGCTTCTTCCTTCATTACGTTGACAAAAGGTTGTTTTATTAAGACAACCTCCGAAATATTCCTATTCGTTTTGATTTCTCAAATTATCCGATTTAATTCTTGGTATTGAATCTATATGGTTTTTAATTGATTCTTCCAAAGCAGGATCCAATTTATTCCGATAATCATGTTTTTCTACTTACATAACTAAAATGGCATTTAGCGTACGGATATGTACCACGTTAAATGATCGATTAATCACGGATTGTCGATCTGTGATTTATTCAAAATATTAAACACGTTACCATGGCAACACGATTCCTTAAACACATTACCATGGCAACACAGTTCATCAAACACAGCTTCAGTAATTTGAGACATGTCTGGTCTGTCAATTGTTTCAACTGTCAACTGTTTTTTCCAAATCTTGTATCAGCATTATTCAAACAATATTCGTTTGTATCATAATTCTTCATCAAAAATATATGCGAAAAGAAGACGAAAGTGGAATCGAAGAGAACAATATTTGAGAACAATCTAGTTATTCTGCGCTAAGCATGACAATAAACGTGAAACAAAGGTTTAGTAAGCAATGGACTGGACACATCAACAACCAATATCACTTATACGTGTCTCGCTAGTTGCATGCAGTGGCATGTATCATGTTCTCAATTCCCATTCCTTACGAATTATTTTGTAGGTTAGCAGGAATAGCAGGTATGTTAATGTAATTTTCGTACATAACCCTACATAATGAGACCAAGATCGTTGAATTCCGTTACACCAAACTGTAGTAATGGGAGTTTTTTCAAAGTACTATTCATCCTTCCCTCCCTCTTTTATTTAAACAGCTAGCGCAATTTTTTTCGTTCGAAATGATTGGAATTCTACTCGAGAACATTCGAAAAGTGTTTCTGATATGTCTTGATTTATAAAATTCTCATAAAAACCCGTTTTTTAAGTTGGCCAATGCAATTATGCCCTCTAGCGGCAGTCCAGGAAACTTGAAAATAATTTCCAGAGATTTTTCTTGGGCACTTTTATCATGAATATTTTATTCCGAAACCTATGCGGCAAATAGTTTCCGAGATACAGCCGGCGTCCTTTTTAGTGGTACACCCGGTACAATATGCACATATATTTAAGTTGAATTCAGGCAATTGTGTTCTTGCTTATTAATATTATTATCAATAATAATTGATTCTAGTAAAGTTTCACATTCAGGGATTTTTTCGTTAATTTCTTACTCGATCAAAATACAATTTGTGTCAAATTTCTTTCTGGGATTCCTCATGAGCGACAATAATTGCCGACCACTCCTCGTACAATATACCGACCGCATAATACATCATCAATTCATCAATTCCTCTATAGCGGTTTATACGTTTGGCGCGCGACCCATGGAAATTACGCCATGAGTATTTTCCCTAATAATCGAGATTTTTTTCAATCATATAAATATCTGTGAAGCCCCTTTCCCAATGTTATCTTCAGTTGAATCTCAGATCAATCACAACACACAGTTTGTTCTTCGCGTCGATTTTTTTGTGTTATCTTACTATACCTATAATTGTTTGTGCATTTTTGATTTGGATATTTTGCATTTGGACGAATCCAGGATGACTTTGATTAGTTATTTGAGGTTAGTTGACTCGTTTATCAAATTGAAGGTTTTTACAATGGTAAAAACACAAGAGCTTTTTTTATCGGATAAATTTCTCTTGGTTACGAAAAACATTAGCCGATTAGTAATTTCAGGAAAAAACTGACATGAAAAAATGTCAGTTTTTCGAGAGAAATAATTGATGGAAATTGTTTGAGTAAGTAAGGAAATTTATCCAATTAAAAAAAAGTTCGAATGTTTTCTGGTAAGATAAATCAACGCACGGAAAAAAAAGTTTTGTTGCACCAACAAAAAATTTTGGTCTTTTATTTTTGTTAAATTATACAAAATTTTGCGAAATCAACAAAATATATGTTCATTCCAAATAAGCAACCTATTCAGAGAGACAAAATAATTTGATTGAAATACTTGCTTACTTGAACGGAAGTTTCATTTCATTCAACAACATTTATAGTTGACATAAAACAAATTTGGTTGATCCAACTATGATCTCATTGTTCAATCAATCATATGCATTTTGTCTATTCGACAAAATTCAACTAATTATGACAAAGATTTAACTAAATACAGCATCATATTTTGTTGAGTCAACAATCATTTCATTGTGCAACCAATCGAAGGTTTTTTTCTATTCAAAAAATTTTTATTGATTATGACAACATTATATTTCGTTGATTCAACACATCACTATCAAGAAATATGTTGTTATTTCAAACACATCACTTTGTTGAACAGAACCCACAAATACATTGAATCAAACAAATATTTTGTTGAATGATTATCTAGTTGCATTTTTGCCACAAGGTGGCGTTTCTTTCAAACTTCCTACGCTTGCCTTGATTGGGGTGTACAAATACCTACCTAAAATATCTATTCATATAAATATTAGGTTGTCCTAAAATTTCTTATGACGCTTATACAAGCTAATAGTCTTGAATCAACTGAGGAAATTGATCTCTGATTTCTCAAGTTTTGAAATTCAGTTATTGAATTTTTCTCAAATATTATTCAGCAAAATATTTTGTCAATCCTAAATACTTATAGGAACTATAGGACACTCAGATTTTGTTGAATTCACAAAAATTTTGTAGTTTCAATCAAATTTTTTTTTCTATGCGACAATATACAAATAAACAACAATAATGATTCCGTGTAACTGGTATTTCGGCGAAAATGATTTTTTCAAATTCTCGTGGTTCCCTCAGACGAAATTTTCCCAAAACGACTCATCTCACTGATTTACGCGTGAACCGTATCCATCAATCAATCTTGACACGACAGCAACAGCGATAAAAAAGGAGCATCCTTTTTTATCGATGTAAAAATTATTCACATCTACGTCAAATAGCGTTTTCCTACGAGCGTGCGCAAAGTAGTACTCTTCCTGCACTCATTTGCGTGCGCAAAGTAATACTTTTCCGCACTCAGGGCGGATATGGGTTTTATCCGCACGGCCTGCGGATAAGTAAAATTGTCCAAAAATCTCCCTGGTATGGAACATTTATATTCATTAAAGTTGCTGTAGACTATTGTATGCAATATAATAAGCCGTTATCCCTTTTACTTTTCAACTGTTCTTCCCGATGTTTGTATTTCACCTCAGAACAAAAAAAATATTTCACGGTTCAAAAGGAGAATATACCTTGTATAATGATATATGATCATATATAATATTGTCAAGCAACATCAAGTGCACTTGTCAACTTTGACATGATGTCAGATTTTTACTCTCCTTTTTATCTGATATCACACTCCAATGGAAATTTCACTTTTAATTATCTGACCAATCCATTGATATCATATAGTATAGAAAATGGATGACACCAGTGGTGTCTTTTCGGATGCACACCGTTTTGGAGTTGTAGCTAGTGAGTTTAATTTGAGACGTAATAGGACTCAAGAGAAAACGGATAATGAATCGTTCATTCAAGATAAAATAGTGAACTCGAGTTCTTCAGTGAAATATAATTTTGCTTTCAATGTCAATTCAACACTCTCCAGATAATCATCCATTTTCTATGGCAATTTTCATTCAGTTAATGAAAATATTTAGATTCCATTGATAGCGTTCTGATAATATTTTTCAACTGATTTCGATGGATTCAAATTATTGAAAGACAATATAAGCTGACGTAGTTATGAATATTATTTTGTGTTATTCGAATTAGAACATTCAAATCTGACATTCTGAATTTTCTCAATAATTACCTATACTATAAACCGATCCACGAAAATTCAAATATGACTATTCTACAGAAGATGTTCCACCGCTTTAGTTGTCTACCCATCTATCAAATTTGATCGATTTTTATATATCTTCCGACTCATTAGACTTACAAATTTGGTATTTTGTCTCGTCTCCTCGTTTCTATAAAATAGAAATATGAGTATTATTTCATCTACTCAAAAAATATTTTCTGTACGAAGATATGAACGATACTTTTGAGTACCATAACTGTGCAAAATATTTCTGAATCATTTTCGTAAACAAGGAATATTTCGAGAATAAAAAACACGAGGAAATATCTTCATGGTCCTATAGTTATTACGCACATACACGGGAAATGTTTTGATGAAATATGGAAAACCCTGTTTTTTCAAACGTTCGAAGCTTAGTGGAAATATAATACCTATTTTCTAGAAATATTTTTAGTTTTTTAAACTTGAAAATTCAAATCCGCAATTGTCGCCTGTCAGCTATTTTCAACTACCTATATTGTTACATCATTAGGTAACTAATACCTATATTTGAAATAATAATCTCAATTATTTTTTCAATAACTGTAATTTACTGGATTCTGACTCGATCAAAACATATGTTTGTTCATTTGTGGATGTCCTCTAAAACAGGATTTTTTTTAAGAAACACGATGATTTATGGAAATGAAAGTCAATGTCAAGTTCAGGTCAACAGCTAAATATACCAAAGATCATCTTATCGTCTGTCTGCATCAATAATTATGTAAATCATTAATTTCGTACCAAAGACTTCACATTCTTATCATTGTGGGCAATCATTCTCTTCATGAAAGATCGTCACTTACTCTTTCTACAAATAAAAACCATCTCTTGAAAATGAATGAAGTAGGTACTCATGATCAGTTTCCCTTAAAGTATCTGGAATGTTCTTATCAGCCTAGTCATTGTTTTAATATTATCAATTTCAATTTTTTTAGGCATAAAAATGTCATCAAAATAGTTTCGATAGCTGCGCTTCTATCGTCACTAATCATAGCAGCAGTTATGGTCAGCATTGTGTTGCTCGTTCCAAGAAGAAACATTACAAAAGGAGTGGTTGTTTCAAATGCCCTCGGATGTGCGAAAGTTGGGACGTAAGTATCGAAATAGTAATTTTCCTAACAAGTGCGGAAAGTGATTCTTTCCTGCACGCGACTGCCGTTGATACGAACGATGCGAAGCGGAGTTCGGGCAAGCAGTCGAGTGCGAGAAAGACACACCCTGTATATCAATGCGGATCAATGGCAATGATTGAATTACAGAGAAATTATGGAAGGAGGTGGTAATGCCATTGACGCTGCCATTGCAACAATGTTATGCGAAGGAGTCATGATGCCAAGTACCATGGGCTTGGGAGGTGGGTTCATCATGACAGGTTACAACAAAACCACCGGAGAAGTATGGTCTCTGAACGCTAGAGAAACAGCTCCAGCTGCATCTTCCAAAGACATGTTCCATGGAGATAGCAACCTCTCCCTAGCAGGTTAGTAGTTATAAAAGTCGAGATCCTTGCGGTCACTCCAGTTATGCCTAGAACAGAGGGTGATTTGGTGCTTCCTTTTAGGAGGGCTTTCGGTAGCAGTACCTGGAGAACTCAAGGGCTACTGGTGGGCTTTTCAGAAATTTGGAGGCGGAGTGCCGTGGAAAGACCTATTCCAACCCACCATTAGAATGTGCATAAATGGTATTTACGTTTCTGAATTTCTAGCAAACGTATTGGAGGAACACAAAGAAGATCTGTACCTGGATCCAGTCCTAAGGTAGGAGGATTTTGAGTTTTGAACTCTTAGTCAAAGTCGTGTAAGCTCTGATCAGATTTCCTGAAGAATCCTTTCATTTGTGTCTAGGGAAATGTTCTTCGATCCATCGACTAACGAAACCTACAAAGAAGGAGATTCCTACATTAACCATCGCTTGGCCAGAACACTGCAAATCGTTGCTGAAGAAGGAGGGGATACTTTGCATAATGGATCTCTTACTAGAGCTTTTGTCAAGGACATACAGGATCATAATGGAATAATCACTGTTGAAGATATGAAAAACTATAGGTATGTGCTGTGCTCTCATTATACTCATATGTTGCATGCTCTGAACTGACTGTTTTTCTAGGCCACAATGGCAGACTCCTCTTCAAGCATCCCTTTCTGGAAAAGCTCAACTGTATACTTCACCTCTTCCTAGCTCTGGCATTATCCTCACTTTCATCATGAATCTGCTAGACCAGTTTCTAGACATGAAAGACCCCTTTTCCATCAAGAACTACCAGAGAATTGTTGAGAGCTTGAAGTTTGGCTATGCTAGAAGAACTCAGTTAGGAGATAGAGGTTTTGAAGATGTTGATGATGTAAGTGGAAAAACAGTATATTATAACAGACGGTTCATGGGTGATAGATATTCACGATACGAGTATCGTGAAGACTCATATTACGATATTGATAGTCCCCTCGATTATCGTAATATGAGTTTACGATACGAATATAGTACAATAGTTTACCTACTATCAAAAAGCTAATTATTTTATCAAAAATATTCAATATTCCTTGAACTAACGATTCAGTAGGAATATATAACAAGCAAGCGTTGCAAGGGTTGGGCGTATGGTTGTCGTGAATCTATTGTGTTCTCGGTTGTCACTCATTCGGCGAACTGTCAACTTTGACGCGTTGATTCTAATTCGAAAAAAAGCATCGGCATGAATTGGGATCAGAAATTTTCAGATTCTAATATAGAAATTGCGGCGAATGCAACAATCGAAACTTTAGTAAAAATACACTAGTGCGGTAAAGTATCTCATTACGATACTTAAATCAGTGTCGTTATGTTTCACATTACATATTTTTAGTAGGTAATAGTATATCACTTGATATGTGTTGAAGAAGCATATTACGTACGAATGCAAAAGTTATTCCATGAGTGTGTAATTGCTTCACAGCATGCAATACCAAGAGTCATGAACACTATGAGCAGTGTATCAAAAAAATATGTTGATGTAAAAAACTTCCCACAAAATTCTTAATCACATGACATGTTTCGCTAACACAGTTGCTAGTACAACAGTTCAATTCTCCAGTATTTTACCTCTCACCTGATGAAGATACTATGTTAGCGAAACAGGTCGTGTGATCGAGGATTCTTTGAAAATCTTATCGTTTGTATAGTTTTCACATTTTTTATGGATTTCCATCATGTAGGTAACGGCCGGATCAATTAAGTTTCTTCTTGATAGTCTATCCGTTAGGTTATGGACATAAAAGAAATGAAAGAAATTTCCGAAAAAAGAATTCACCTTATTCTTTATTCTCCAGTTCAAGAATTTACTGTTACAATTCTCGTATCGTTCGCGGGATTATTACTTGGCAGACAATCATTCGCAATAAAAAATAAGTGTACGCCACCTATCGGTGTCCTTTGTTTCCATTGGACCATATTCGTTTTTTGACTATGCTCACTGGTCACATAATCAAAACAAACCGCTAGCAAGTGTGAAAGTTGTTGCCGTCAGGTGGAGCGACAGTCTATATTTCATTATAGTTATAATTATTTGTTCATCAAAATAGTTAGTATGATATTTGATATTGACTGTCGCTATGTCAAATGATGTTGACGGCGATTAGGCGATCATGACATACTTGCAGAATATACGAAAACTGTGCGATTTACTTACCGTGCGTAATGAGCTACTTACTTAGAATGTTTCTCGTATGTTCTTGCCTATTTCTTATAGTGTCCGTGAGTAAAATGATATCTGTTTCAGCTCATTGTAAATCTCACTTCTAAAATCTATGCACAAAAGATGAGAGAAATGATTTCGGATGACTGGACTTCACAGAATGCTTCATACTATGGTGCTGATTCGGTCATGCCTGAAGATCATGGTACTGCCCATATTTCTGTATTGTCGCCCAATGGAGATGCTGTGTCTGTTACTAGCACTATCAACTATATGTGAGTAACCATACCTTCATATTCCAAAACACTTCTGGAAGCGACGATCAAGATGAATTCTGATTGCTGACTGGTAAATTCTTGTTGTAGATTTGGAGCTAAGTTTGTATCAGGAAGTACAGGAATTCTCCTCAATAATCAGATGGATGATTTCTCATCTCCAAACATCACCAATGTGTTTGGTATTCCTCCATCTCCCACCAATTATATCAAACCTGGTAAACGACCAATGTCGTCCACTTGTCCATCCATAATTTTGGACGAGAACAAAGACGTCCTGATGATTATTGGAGGTGCTGGTGGAAGTAGAATCACTTCGAGTGTAGCACAGGTACAAAATTGTTTTTTGATAATAAAACAACCAGTTGAATCGTATTCATGCCGATAAGACTCTATAGTATTTGAAGGAGATAATTACCGTTTCTCAATAGCTCATTTGATTTCCAGGTTATTCTGAATCATTTATGGTATGGACGAGATATCAAGTCAGCCATGAACTCCAAGAGACTTCACCACCAGCTGTTTCCAATGGAAGTAGGACTTGAGGAAAAATACCTGGAGGAGGTGAGAAAAAAAAGTCACAGAACATCGAAAGGTTTCTAGATTCGAGTCTATATGACAGAGCAGAGAATTTTCATTCATAACACGATTCGCTGTTGCGCTCCAATTAACAGTGCTGCTCCTAAAGGGGCGTATTTAGTTATTAACAAAGCCTACATACACCCCACTTGGGCTGAAGGACCTCTCGTAAGGTTGATCACCAGTTGATATGTACATACAGGGTGATATTTTCAAAACTCCCCACCCTCAATATCTCCCTTTCAGTGAGAAATCGAAACAACAGGTCGATTTTATCTTCAAAGGGGGCAAATCATATTTCTGTAGATAATTATTGAGTGAAAGTTATATAAGTAGCATGAATGCATTAGTTTTGACAGTGCTGATTTCTTTCAATATCACAGACCTTTCGTAGAATTGGGAACAATATCGAAAACTACAAACTGTAATAAAACGTTGGAATTCGATATAAATGTATAAAATTGAAATAGAAACAACTTTTCTCGAACGAAAAAAATCATTATAAACAGTTTTTCCGATTATGATGCTGACTTTATGAATTACATTGTATAAAGGGTGTTACAAATTTGTGGCTGAGCATGTGGATCTCAGTAATCATGAGAGATTCAGAGTAGGTCAAATCATGGCAAAGTTGCGCAATTCCATGCTCAACGAAATGCTGCTTCGAAATCGGGAAAATTCCAATAATTTCCGAAATTATCCGGAGAAAAGGGAAAACAAGCAAAATCAATTATTTCTCAGTTTATTTGAAGAGACATTTCGAAATGGATGTCACATCATCATTGGCACTTTTCCTGCTCTACAAAATGGAATTGTCAAATTGTAAATCGATCGTTTCTTCTTCGAGCGGCATCATCAACTTTATTTATTTTTCAATACGGACCCGGATTTCAATTTCATTTCCCGATAGTTTTCGACATTATATGATGGTGTACGAAAAATATTCATAAAATTTTGACTTCAGTGGAAAAAAACTTTTGAAGGTATGGAGATATTCATCTTTGCCTCACATATTGTTTTTAGTTATCAATGTTTCTCTGTCCAAAACATCGAGTGATGAGTGCGAAGTAATTGTCTATTGGAATGATCTCATTCACAATGTATTAGGTTATAAGGAGCCAACAATGATAATTGAACGACTATACTATTATTGATAATAATGTGAAAATAATGATGTGACATTATCTCTTCAAATAATCTGAGAAATAATTGGAAACGAGTTTGCATATTTTCCATCAATAATTGTAATTTTTCCAATTTCAGAGCAGCATTTTATCGAGCATGAATTTCCCTGATTTGAGCTACTCTGTGATCATTATCTATACTTTATACTAGCCAGATGTCGAGTTTGGATTCTGCAATTTTGGGTTTCTCATTTATCATTTGTAATGCATTCATTTGTTCTCAGGATACTTATGTTGCGGATGGACTGAGAAAAATTGGTCACAAAGTGTCTTTCGCAAGAGCTAACGGTTTCGCAGCTGTCACTGCCATTTCAAGATACAACGAAGAGTCTGTTACTGGGGTTTTTGACAGTAGAAGACTCGGTTCTGTGTCTTACGTGAACTGAATACTCATATTGATTGATAGAATGTTTTAGAATAATTATTTATTATTATTTATATTAATTATTTCCAACATAACGAAACTATTTACCAGTTTCACGGTGTTCGAAGTCTTCAACATGGAATTATGAAACTATTGTTTCGCCCAAAATCAGTACTCCTGTGATGATAACTTGTGATAATTTTTATGGTTCTTATACTGGAACTATATTGAGACTGAATTTACTTATGTATTGATTTGACGGGATGTTTGTGTAGAATATGATTAATTTATGTATGAAAGCAATATCAGTATTATTGATCCAATAAGTGTTTCAAGTATATTGTAGCAAGTTGTGAATTGAATGATTAATAAACATGAGATAAGCTCATTATATGGAATATTTATTTATTTTCAATTTGCAATACTTATCATTTTGTTCTGAGCTATCCCTTTGGAGACGGATTTGATTTTCATGTTGGTTTTCAGCATTCAGTAGTTGGGGCAATATGAAGGCTACACAGCCTGCAAGTGTGGTTCCGTCCAACGCTCACTAGGGCGCATGAAAACTCATTTTGGATTGTGTTTCCATTATGGAACCACTGGGACTGAAAGGGCTATGCGCGTATCTATACAGTACACTGTGTCCCATTTTGGTTGAGACTACACTGTATCTCAGCTATTATTGAAGATAGAGACATGCGGTTCTTGCGACCCTGTATCACATTTTTGTAAAACTTCCAAAGCCACAAACAGAAATATTCTAACTATTTTTGTTTCTGAAATACAGGGTGAAAACGGAAATGATTATTTTTGGAGATGTTATTATTATTATAAAATGGAAAAAAAATGGAAACTGCTCATAATAAATATTTTCACATAAAAGTCAGTGGCTTATTCTGAATTTTTTTCAGAGCACTGTTTGAAAGATTGGGCAGAAACTTGGTATATTTTAAATGGAACACTCTGTATATTTTAACGTCAATTTCTCGTAATTTTTTTCAATAGTAATCCGTGAATTTCAATGGCTTTGCTTCTAACGGAAAAATAAGCAGTCATACTGTATCATGTGGAAGCACTAAAAACAGAGTGACTATACAATAAGGTGTTCATTGTGTCGAAATTTTGTATGCAAAGAACATACCACAGCTGTAATAAAATGTCAAACTTGCCATAATTTAGGCCACGAGGAGGAAGCAGAAGAAGATTAGGCATTTTGAAATAGATTCAGTCTTCAATATGCTTAATATGTTCGTAGAAACCAAATTTTCAACGTTTAATCTAAATTACCGCCAACAAAAAAATTGCGTTTTTGTTTCACCTAAAAACATGTCAAATTTATGGTGGTGTACAAAATTCATCGCGCGGAAAAAAGTTCGAATTAATTAGCGCTAGTAATTAAAGGTTAATGATATAATATCCATAATTGAGCATTTGATAATAAATTGAGTTTAATCACCCTTGATTGATGGAACAAGATATCAATTGAAATGAGGAATACAATTTTGGCAGAAGAAAGAAGAAGGGATCCAACGGCGAAAGTAAAATGTCGAATTTATATCCTCTGTCGAAAATTCTTTTTATAAACGGAAAAAATTCGTTCTATCCTGTGACATATTTTTTATATGAAGTATTAACATTATTTTGGCTCACTCTATTAACCCTATCATTTACAAAATGTATTTCCGGACACCCTGTATTTTCATCTGCCAGTTCTTTATTTTTGTTATACCCAGTTCACTAGCTTCGTTTATTCAGTTTGGAATGGTCTCTATATCCTACACCGCACATTCATCAATGTCAATGAATTCGGTCTATGCTATTTACGATCTTCTGGTTCTGGTTTTTGGAATGTGAAAGAAACTGAAATTAATTGGAAACTTTTTCATCCATATCCTCCTTTTTCCATTTCCCGTGGAAATTGTGTGATCGCATTGACGAAGCAATAATTTGAGTTCCCTAGCAAGCAAGTGCAAGTGTTGATGTAGATAAGATTTTTCAGATTTAGAATGGGGCCTTCGGGCTATCTGCCTCCACACCGCGACCTTTTCAGATCTATTGTGTCTGCCCTCAAAATCGATTAGAGTTCTTCGGCTAGCACCGCCTCCTCTATGAGACTCCATAGGCTAGCTTTCAGATCCCCTGTGTACCTTTGGGCTCCTGGTTTTTCCTCACCCAGCTTAAGGAACCTCAGTCTTGACAAGCCCTGACGGTGGCAAAGTATGTGTACTGCTGTTTCGTCCTCTTCCTGACAGAACCTGCACAGTAGTTCTTCAGTGAGACCTATCGTACTCATGTGTTTGTTGAGCCTACAATGCCCTGTGAGAAGTCCCACTAGAATTCTAGTTGAACTTCGTTTCTGGCTCAGTAGATATTCTGTGAATGTTGGCGATGGTTTTCCAATAAACTCTATTGCCTGTCTCATTCCTGGCGAGTTGTTCCACTATTCTTGAGATTTGGTTCGCATCCATGATTTGATGCTAGTCTTTTGTATAGCTTTCACAATACCACAGAAGGGTTCTGGGGCATTCAGAGCTTTGTTTGCTCCTGCGCGGGCAAGTGTGTCTGCCTCTTCATTGCCCTCGTACCCTGTATGTGCTGGTACCCATGCTAGAGTCAGTCTGTTCTGACAAAGGTTGACGTAAGTGATAGATAAACTTTTCATCTCAACAATTTGAATGGTTGAAATATGGGGAACTCCACTCTCCATGGCTGCCGATATCCACTATTTTGATATAAATGCGACGACCTTTTTTGACTGAGCAACATTCTCAATCCCGGAAAAATTGGTCTAATTGTGCAAACGGGTGTCCCAACTCTATTTTAGCACGCATTTTTTCGAAGACATGATATACTATCGATGTTCTGAACCATTCGACCTAACTGAGGAATAATTTTGCACAAAATTGAGTCATCAAAACTACCCCGCGATGAACTACTCATCAGCACATATCACGTTTGTTCTTCAAATCACACCCCCCTATTATTATGGAAATGTTTGAGTAGCTCATTGGCCTACTAACACAATGATGTATCACACTGTCCATGAATACACCCTAGATAATGGTAAATCAACAACTACATGATTATCATTGGGGGAATTTTGTCCGCCACCATTATAAATCTGAAGGAATCATAATTCCCCTCAGATTTTATTTCTGTGCGTCCCCCTTTTCTTTCGTACCTACTTGTTACGATACAAAATTATGTCAAGTGCAATATTTCATTGTGTTCGTGAGCTTACGACCTATTCAAACATATCACAAGAATGAGAAGATGTGATTTGTGAAAAAAAATTGTGCTAAGGGGTGGTTTGTCGGGAGAATGTTTCAATAACTAATCTTAATATCAGTCGTCTGATTCCGCCTTCACATTCACAACTCGTGTAAAAGAACCAATTCTTCTCGGGTATCAAATGGACAGAGAGATCCTAAGAAGGAATACAGAAATAATAGATCTTGGGTTAACTTACAACTCACAGTTCTCGTTTGCCAATAATATTAAACAAATTTTAAAATCTGCCAATAAAATTTTAGGATTTGTTATCAGACAGACATCATCTTTTGCTATATATGAACACTATCAAGTTACTTTATTATTCCCTAGTCAGGCCTAAACTGGAGTTCGCCTCTATTATTTGGTTTGGAGAATATCAAACTTTGTACAATGTAATTTACCATAAATGTACCGCCCCTCTAGCTCAGTTATTTTTGAACCGATTGCAAAATTTCAAATATCATTTGAAATGATTTTCGATAGAGTTTTTTTCCGCTACATCAAAAAATACAAGGTGCTCGGAACAAACGATCTACAGGGTACTATTTGATTTTCTTCAAATGGAACACCCTATTTTTCATTGTTTTTTCAGATTCTCCCTGAAGAGATGATTTCATCAATGTATCACACTTGGGGTCAACAGAGATATATATAGGGTGTTCAAAATTGAGATTTTTCAACGTCAGGATTTTTTCGTGAAGGAACTTTTTTTTATGTTCTGATTTCCACGAAAAGGAATATCCTGTAATTTTCAGAGAACATCGTGAGAACCAAGGAAAATGAGGTTGAAATTGGTGTTCTTCTTGAATTTCAGGAGGTTGAATGCCACGGGAAACACCTCCTTTGGCAATGTGTTCTAGAGCCTCGCTGTTCGTTGGATGAACGAGTCTTTGGAAATAGATGTTTAACACGTCTCCAAAGTGACCACGAAGGGGTGCGAAGCCTCAACTCGACGGGTAAATCTCGCGGGGACTGCCAAGGGAGGTACAATTATTGATATTCCAGAAGAGCATCGTCCATAAAAATATCTATAAAATAGAGCCAGATCGTCAACTTTTCTACGATGTTCAAGAGAAGTGAGTGAGTTGGTGAGCTAGGCATCACCCACGAGACGAATTGCCCTTTTCTGGACAGAATCCAACAGTTTCAGGGTATGTTTTGGCGCTGCACTCCAAATATGGGAACAGTATTCCAGGACAGGTCTGATCTGTGCCTTATAGATCATAAGCAGCTGACTGGAAGTGAAATAGCTCCTGGCCCGAAACAGTAAACCAAGTATTGGGATGCACTTTTAGCAATTGATCTGACGTGATTTTCCCAAGAAAGGTTATTGCTGATAGTAATACCAAGCATCGAAATGGATGTCTTCAAAGGTATGGTTACTCCTGATATGCTTATGTAGGGCACAGTGAGATCGGTTTTCCTAGAGAAAAGACATGCTTGTGTTTTGTTTGCATTGAAATCTACCAAAAGTTATTGGATCATTCTAGAATTGTTGCCATTTCCATATTGTTGTTGTCAACATTTCTCCCCCGTTCGTTTCTGATTTGCCTGGCTGGTATTGGAGCCCTGGAAGAGAAGGCGGTATGGAGGGTACTATCATCCGCGAAGCTGTGTACTGGACATGAAGTTGTTCCCAACGACGACGAAACGTTGGATTTCAAATTTGAAAACGCTATCATGTAGGGAAGGAAAAGTTGCCATTATGAAGGCGTATCCATATCGATTGAGCACTTCAAATGAATCCAGAAAAGAATAAAAACCGTATTCGGAATATTCCAAGTTTCAGAACGGCATTCTGTTAGGCATCAAATTGCGCAACTTTACGCAATAATTTAATCGACCCAGAATCTCTTACCCTGTACTAATTCATCAAGCAATTCAAGTAGCATTCGGCAGGATCTGAATATAGCATCAATTCATACTCAATCACTCCTTATCCGTTCCAAGCGGCTTCCAGAGACGACAC